AATTATCATTATTATTTTGTAGCAGTTATAGTAGTAGTGAGTGTTGACTTAGAAGACAGGTTTTGGTGAGCTTTCATAGTTATTAATAAACAACCTTGACAGTGATGGTGATTTGCAGGCGGTGAATCTTCCGGTGGATAGAGATGGGTCACGGACGAACTCGTCTGGGTCGGTCACCACCTGCGGCAGCAGCCGTCACACACCCACCGCTACTCCCCTCCCCACCCCAGACCATCCCCCCCACTACCCCTACCACCACCACCACCATCACCACTACCCATCACCAGGAGGTGGAGTGGGGGGGATCGGAAGCGCAGGGGGAACAGCTATATCAACAACAAACACTTCTCCAAGCTCCACCATTTCCAACCTTGCCATCACCACGGTCGGGATGCAGCCCCCGTCACACAGCCACTCCCACGCCAACCACCTGCACCGCATCACCTTCCCCTCCCGGCCCCGGCCTCCATTGCCACAGAACAACAACCCCCTCGACAAGCCCCTTGATCTGGATGGCGACCACAAAGCGGGCAGCCCTCCAGACATGCCCCAAGACCAGGACAAGATCGAGGTCACAGGAGACACATACTCATACGTGCAGTGCACGATGCACCATGAATACAGCTACCCGGTGGTGGAGGGCATCAAGGCAGAGAAGAGAGATAGTATAGCATCTCTGAAAAAGCAGCAGCAACTCGAGCTTGCCGGGGCGACACACCCTCAGCCGTGTCCTCCAACGAATCATGGCAAGAGGCCGCGAAAGAGAGACCGCAGAGGCAGAAAGTTCATCAAAGCCCGCTGTCGGCACTGTCAGGAAACCTTTACATATGATAAAAATTCCCGGGGCAGCTGCGAATACGCACCAGACTGTGTACGTACAGCCATTGATACACTTACATGCATCTCTTGTGCGCACGGTATGTTATATCATTGCATGAGTGATGCAGAAGGTGACTTTGCTCACCGTCCATGTGAATGTGGGGGTCCTGGAGGCACGACGGATGAGTTGTGCGGGCGACGGTGGCTTGGATTAACCTTGTTATCCTTATTGGTGCCGTGCTTGTGGTGCTACATACCGCTGCGAGCATGTCACCGATGCGCTGTCGCCTGCAGATTGTGTGGTGGCCGACATGAGGCCTCCTGACTCACCGCCCCCACACATGCCCAGGAGGATGAGGAAGAGGATGATGACGATGACGAGGAGGAAGATACGGTTTTCACGGTAACTGGAAGCCCCACGCTGCTCTCCCCACAACAGTGGTGTGATCAGGGGAGCAGTTCCCAGCAGTCGGGCGTCGGAATGGGCATGCATGTGGAGAAAAACCAAACCAGTTAATACTGATCCAAGCTTTGTAGCCAGTCAGCTGTTGTGGCAGGGACAACAATGACAGTTAGTGGTGTGTGAAAAGAGTGTAAGGGTGCTACCAGCACAACTATGATTGTCAAACAACCAACTAGAAAGGAAAGGAAGAATGGAATTGTGTGATAAAAGGAGTGTGAATGAAACCACTTTTGATAAAGTGGATAGAAAGGACACAACAGTTTGAGTGTTCTATGTACCTGATGGCCACACTCCGGCCTCAGAGTGTGTGTGCACGTGTGCGTGAGTGTGCACTGCACACACACTGCCGTACATGGCCAGTTCTCAACTCTTGCATTTGGAAACCCTTGTTCATCTATATGTGAGCTGCTCATTTAATGGCAGGTCCGTCCGCCTTGGCCTATTTAATAATCTAAAGGGATCCCAATTTTTCGAGGGCTCAGGAGAAATTGTGACGCCCTTTGGAATTGCTGTGACTTTTTGTATGCTTTTAATTATTATTGTGATAGATGTTCTATATATTGATAGCTTTAGCTGGCCAAGACGGACAGGCAGCCAAGGCAGCTGGACTGTCACGTGTCACATAATAACTACGTGAAGTTCTCACTTGCGTTTGCCTTACATACCGACACTTTTGTGTTTAGTCTTTTGGCAATTATCAGCGTCGTCTTCAGCGTTGTGTAAGCCGGACAACTTTTTCAAGGGTTTCCTTGTCATTTTAGGTGCTATAGCACAAATCATGGATTTTCCTTTTTTTTTAAGTGAATGATTATTCAAAAAAATATTATTCAGTTGTGTTGCAGTCAAAAGAACAGTTTTCTACACAACTTTATATATAAACATGTGTAAGGCAGTTGCACTGTGAAACATGAAATACAAGGTGAAGTTTGGCTTCTTAAAAAATCAAACTTAAGGTAATGATGTAACTACATAATGTAGTTTTCCAATAATAAAAGACTAAACCTCCAAATTGCATTCATGTAAGCAACACAGGTAGCATTATGAATCACTGCCCTGTGGAAAAAAAAAGTCTTGTAATTACCATAGTCACAATTATCATGAATATTGATGATAACAACCCCTCTTAATTATGATTACACCCAAAAAGGAGGCCAAGATCTTGTTAAAAAAAAAAAATAAACATTTTTGTGTACAACCTAGATGGTGGCCCAGTCGGCGCAGAGATCGCAGCCGGCGGAGAGCGTGGACTTTTTTGTTTTTTTGTTTTTGTTTTTTCTCACCACCGCCTTCACCAGCGAGGAAGCGCTTGGGAAGGAGGTTGGACTTTGCCGCGCCCTCTTCTGCCGTCTGCGGCCTGGACCGAGATAGATGTTTTGGTAGCGGTAATCTTGGGGAGCAGCCAGGTCATACGTCACCCAAAAGAAGTCCTGGGGTCAGCCTGAGGCTCCAGATATAAAGATATATATTAAAAAAAAGAGGAAAGAATGAATAGAGGGAGAAAAGAAAAAGAAAGGAAGAGTACCTTAATTCTGTGGTAAAGAGGTGATGACCCCAACCTACTTCGAGTACGGCGAAACGACCTGGCGCATGTCAGCTCCCCGATACTTCCGTTGTTCATGCCACCCCCTAGTCACGAACAAAATTGCAACCAATGTCAGCAGTCTAATATCATTTGTTTTATTTGCAACAATTTTAAGCAGAAAGTCACAAAAGTTTGTGGTTTCATTTTACCTTTTTCTTGAAGAAGAATGAAAACAAAACTAAAAGTTAAAAAAAGAGAACTTTGTTACTCCCAGGAAAATGATTGATATATATATATATATATTTTTCTTGTTTTTCAGTTTTCACTCATTGTTTCCAGTGAATGATTTAAGTGACTAAGTAATTATCCTTGTGTAAACTTTTTGTCTATTGATAATTTCATTATAATTGTCAAGTATAGGATGTAACAAGAATGATTTTATGAACAATAATGACAACCAAAGACATATCCATTAGCCCTGTTGTTTTATCCCCATCTATCTATCCTCTCGTGTTTGGAAAAATAATAATTTTCAAAAGTAAGGCCTGTGAATGATACTAGAATTTTTGGATTACAGTACAGCCCAACTGCAGAATTACAGTAAGACTTCTGAAAGGCAGAATGGCAGCTTTTGCTATGTTGTAACTAGGCCTCCTGAAGGTGTTGGCAGATAATGAACCAGCTGAAATGGTCTGTTTTATAATTACTTTGGAAATTTACATATGATTAAAAGAAAGAAGAAACAAAGAACTTTTATATTTTGAGAAGAATAAGCTAATATTATATACAACATAAGTTTAAAAGAACATAAGGCAAAAGGTCCACTGATTAGTGCATTAGATATTTTTATTATTCTAGTTAGCAAAGCAAAATATTTGTTAATCTTATGGATAAAAGTTTTTATTCAAACTTATTTCCCTGTACTAGGGCCACTTGGGCAGCATGTACCTACATTTTTTCAAAGGAAATTGTCTATACTATTACTGAAAACTTGGTCTGTAATTATGAATAAGGATAAATACTAATGATTAAGAAGAAAGGAAACATTATATAAACTAAAGCCAATCCAACATGCAATATAGAAGAATTGGCTTACATGTTTTTTTTGGATGGACCCAACTTAAAAACTTCTCAAGTTAGCCAATTGAAATTCAAATTCAAATTGACCAGTATCAATGAGATTTCTGAAACTGATATTTCAGCACATGCTCTGTATGCATTACTATGAAACTGCTGTCCATAGTAGATACCACCACTGCCAAATTAAGGAATGAACTTGGAGGTTGGCAGCCTAGGGGCCAATGCCAGCTGTGGACATTGGAAGATGAAAGTTATACATTTTTATTACACTAGATCGGAGACTGTCTTCGGTGAGTGAAGTTTAAAGATTTTCAATTAATCATTTATCACACCCTTTGGAAATAGTGCTGGGGGCTCAAGTTTTATAGTTCTGCAGTCTACAGAATCTTAAACTGGCTGTGGATGCAATGCTAGAACTGAGAACAAAATGCACTTACTAAAACCAATGTAAAGAAGTTGTATTTATTTATTTATTTAATCAATATTTTGCGCAGAACAAACACCTTGAGATTTAAAAAAGAACATGCAAATTGCAATGGTATTTTTGAAAGGTGAAACATACGTGAAAAACAGGTATAAGTTTGCTCAATCTGGTCATTTTCAGTCTTCACAGTATCTATCAAAAATTATCCAAAAATGAATGCAAAAAGTTCTAGGGTAGATACTCATTACTTCTTAGAAAAAAATAAAATTATAACATTGTTGTTGCTTCATTATTGTTAACATTATTATACTTATTAATTATTTACTTACTACCATCATCAATCCTCCTCCTCCCCCTTCCCCCTCTTCCTCCTCACCCCTCCTCTCTTCCTCCTCCTCCTCCCTCCTCCTTCCCCTCTCCTCCTCTCCTCCTTCTCCTCCTCTCCCTCCTCCTCCTCTTCCCCCCCCTCCTCCTCCCTCCCCCCTCCTCCTCCTCCCCCTCCCCCTCCTCCCCTCCTCCTTCTCCCCCTCCCCTCCTCCTCCTTACATTCCTCCTCCTCCTCCTCCTCCTCCTCTCCTCCTCCTCCCCCTTCCCTCCTCCTCCTCTCCTCCCCTTCCCCTCCTCCTCCCCTCCCTCCTCCTCCCTCCCCCCTCCTCCTCCTCCCTCTCCTCCTCCCCTCCCCCTCCTCTCCCCCTCCCCTCCTCCCCTTCTCCTCCTCACCTCCACCTCCTCCTCCTCCTCCCCTCCTCCTCCCCTCCTCCTCCTCCTCTCCTCCTCCACCTCCACCTCCTCCTCCTCCTCTCCTCCTCCTCCCTCCTCCTCCTCCTCCCTCCCTCCTCCACCTCCACCTCCACCTCCACCTCCACCTCCACCCTCCACCTCCTCCACCTCCACCTCTCCACCTCCTCCTCCTCCTCCTCCTCCTCCTTCACCTCCTCCTCCACCTCCTCCACCTCCTCTCCCTCCTTCACCTCCTTCTCCTGAACCTCCTCCACCTCCTCCACCTCCTCCTCCACCTCCTCCTCCACCTCCTCCACCTCCTCCTCCACCTCCGTTTTTGTAAGGACATTTGACCAAAAGGAGAATCTGAACATTATTGCAGAGGATAATATTAATGAGTGATTTATTGTTACACATTATTGGGTAAATGTAGGAGAAAACTGCAATAAACCTATAGTGACCTCGTTGAAGTTATTAATCAAAGCTTTTTGTTTGCAGCTTTTAAAGAATTCAACCAACTTTATCATCACTACCAACATCGTGACTTCAAATAGGATCATCACCCCTATGTGAATGAATATATATTGTAGTACTTCCTCGAGTACTTCAGCTACTATCCACTGAGGTTGTTTGGAAATATCTAGTGTATGGCTTCATATTTATAACAATCTCAATTCTATGCCACAAGCAATAATGCAAAAATGCTCCCCACCCCCCAATTCCTTGCTCCTTGTTGTCCTGGGGGGTGGGGGGGGTTGTAGGAGACTTCTGAGGCCAAAGGTATGGATTGGATCACCCCCTACTTTGGACCTCGGCTTCGCTTCAACAAATTGTATTTTCTTCTCTCCTTTTCCTTTTCCTTCTATTCTTTGTCCCCTTCTGTCCACTTCCTAAGGTGTGAGGGCTGCGCCGAAAGGAAGAAAGGCTGGCTTTGTGTCAGTCCTGAACGGCCTTCGTACTCCGTTTGCTCTTCCCTCTTTGCCCTTTTCACTACCATACTAACATCTAGCGCTTTACAACCTTTGACATCTAATATATTTTGTCCTAATCGTTAACAAATTTTTACCCTTTTTCCATGATGCTTTATCATAGTGCTGTATGACCATTATGCTAGGAATCTGAAAACATCGCTTTATAAACCAAAATATCCTCCTTCCTTAAGGGGTTCACCCCTAAGCCCCACCCAATCGCTATATCTTGAATGCGCTGCAAATGACCTTAGATGACGCTGCAGATTTTTTTTTTTTTTCGTAAACAAATAGATGATGGAAAAATGCTAAGGTATCTTGTTTAGAGAAGTGGCATATGATCATTATTATCATTAAATTTCTAAAGGACAAATAAGCAGCATACCCAGTGAGTGTTAAGTGCAGCGCTACAACAGAGTGTTAAGTAATATTATTGTGAAATATGATTCCATCACTTATCACAGGTATATCATACTATTCTTTTAAAATGAAGAAATAGAATATAACACAAGGAAATGCTCATGGATGAACCTTTTTTCTACCGTTTGGCCCCTCCCCCAATGCATGGTCTTTTCTTCCCCTTTCCGTTTCCTTCTGTTCTCCAAACCCTCCTAAAATTCACTTCCTAGGATGTACCCGTGTTCAAAGGATGAAAGGCAGACTGCCAGTTACAATGGGCACGGTATTCCCCTGTTTACTTGTCTAGTTCTTACCCTGAGGGTAGTCTGTTTCTTTTCCCAACATACTCCAGGCTTACCATGGCCAGTAATGGAGATTTTGTACCCTTATTAGTGGCTTTGAGGCTTGCCCCTTTATCAAAAAGCCCCTCGAACCCAGGCTCTCCTTTGACCACGCCTCTGAATACTGCTGCTACTAACCATTCCTCGGTGCCTGCTATCACCTCAGTCCCCTCCAAATCATCTATCTAGATCACTACTCAACTTCCAGGAAACGTTCCTCCTCTCCCACGATCCTGTACTTCATCTCCTCCACCGCCACAACTTTCTTCATCTAATACCCCCTCCTCCCTTATTACTAATCCGCAGCCTTATTGTCAATTTCTCTCAACACTCCCCCTCTCCATAGGCTTAGGAAGGTATTTTGAAGTTGGGCAAAGTAGGTTTCCCCAAAAAGTAGCCATGGGTCCTGGGGCTGTAGGCCCCTGGTGGGGTGTGCCTCTGGACCAAAATCTCAGACATCTATATTTAGATGATACTTGGCATAACGGTTATTTGATTTTGGTTCGGTTGTAGCTGCCCTCTCAGTTGCAGGGTGTCACTGTTCTCAACGATTGAGTAACTATGGGATTGCACCGTTTGTTTGTTTACAGAGAATGTCTCGAAAGTTGAGGAGTGGGATGCAGAAATTAGGTCCTGCCCCCTCCACTTTCGAAGGGGGGGGGGCAGTCGCCCCCCCTTCCTGGTCCTTTTACTACCCCTTCTTCTACAAACCTTTTGCATACTCTGTTTAGCCCAACCAACTGGGTTCGATTTTTCGTTATCCTCCCACCGCCCTTACTCTGAACACCCTCTCCTCTTCCTGAAATGGCTTTAAAGACTAGTAGACAAAGTTTCCTTCCGCAGCATCCTTGTCACAGTTCCATCTGAATTCCAAACTAGAGCAATATCAACCCAAACTGACAACTGACAAACCCATCCCAGCTCAACCTCATCCCTTCCTCAATACTTGTATTGGAACTGCCTCCTTCTCCACAACAAACTACACACGGCAAGGATTGGTTAGATTGCGGAGAAGACTTACTCGCCTGCCTCGTGGATTAAACCCTAGAGGTATTTATTACATTCCGTATATATGACCTCCCCGTTCATGTCTATATTTGCGGTCCCTCTCTGTCCGACCAAATCAACCTACTCGCCGTCAGTGTCAGAATTGTCGGCGTTTCGGCCACCCTGCCAGACACTACCGCTCCTCAACCGGTGCTCCCTATGTACCGAATCTGGTCATGGCGGATCAAACTGCTCTACAGTCATGTACATGTACTATTTGTGGTGGCTCCCATAATGTATTTTACAGGGACACATTTGAGTGTGAGGTTGCAGTTCCTAGATTCAGTCGGCCTCAGTGTACGGAGGCCAGACAGGAAGCACGTCGACGAGACTTCTCCTCTTGTTTCCTACTCTAGAGCTGCTCTTCACTCCGCCCCACCCCCTTCTCAAGAGGTTTCTACACCTCCCCTCCCCCCGTATCTATTCCTCCTCCGTCATATTTCCACTTTTTTCCACTTTAAATGTAATCATTAACGTATGGACGCCATGCCACCAC